TTGTTAATAAAGTCCAATGAAATTACTGTTTGTAATAGAACACACTTAGTATCAAAGAAAAAATGACAGAGAACGATTTTCATGATTACTAACCTCCAAGAAGTGACAAACTTTGCTTTTATATGTTTCTACATCTCATATATTTTATAAAAATCATTTCTACAACGTTCAACTCTGCAATTTACTCTTTACCATATTTTTGGCCACTAACTTTCATATCAATTCGCTTGTTGATATAGATGATGTAAAAATACTTCCCTAAAAATCATTAGTAAATAATCCAACATACTACAATACATGGCTATACTTGATCATAATGTCCAAGTTGAAACTTATCAAATATATTTTCTTTTCTATTCCTTTATCATTCTTCTTTTAATAAAGTATAGTTAAAATAAAGTTTTATTCAAAAAAAAATGATAAAGGAATGGGAAAGTAAGTAAATTTGATAAGCCTTGACTGATTTACTTTTGAGTTTATTTTAATGTAATTACTTTACAAAAGGGCTGTATCTTATGGTTTTTACCTTTTGAAATATGTGTATTTAAACATTTTTATTATAAACTAGGTGTAAATTTACATCCTGAAGAGCGACATTTGAAGCCACAAAACTGATAGAAAGAAATAATAAAGAGAAAAAACAAAATACTTTCTACAATGTAACAGATCTAGTAAAATGACAACAATCTGTCCATTTCTGTATATAGATCAATCTAAGGTGCAAACCATATAAACACAGTCTACTTCTGTACATCTTAGTTAAAGAACAACAATCATATATGTATACATAACATACTGAAAGTGCAATAAAAACAATTGATAAAAATGTCTATTCTTGTTGCATAACTCACTGTGATTACTTATGGTTCAACTAAGAACAAACCATGTGTTACTGTAGAATTTATCAGGCTTATTAATAGGGTTCCAAGAAAATGACATTTTTTGTATGACTCACTAAGTTTTAAATGCAACTTGAGCTGAGCATAAGCATTAATGATGTCCACTAAATGTCAAACATCAGCTGTTTCTGAAAACGAATACTAACTGTTTCTCCATTTTAGCATGATGTTTCATCGAAAGCAATAGTTAGAGAGAAGAATTTTCTGCCTTAATGATGGATTAGAAATATTGCATATAAAGACAACATTACATGAATAAATGGTTGGTGTAGGTATAGTCTGCCTGATAAGCCTTAATAATGAAATAAATGTCTTCTGAGATGAGATACGTTAAGCTCATTTTTACACAGTAACTTTTTTAAGACATCTACAATAAACTACAACTAACAGAAACGTTATGCAAAATACATGCAATTAAGCCTGTAATGTTCCATTATGTTCAATAAGTTCAGTCAAAAATCTTGTTTTGGTCTACTAGCTACTTTCTGTATTCAGATCTTAACACCATTTTTCATATTGCTATTAATCCTAAGAAACACTAAGAATTACGATAAAATTTTCTACAGCTTGCCATGTATTTCTAATATACGACAACACATGTACTGTAACTTTTTTTGCATAATTCAAATTCTTGATAACAACAAAAAGGAATATGATAAAGTATGGTGTTCCAGAGAATTCTGTACATTGAATCATTTTTTTTTATAATATACATAATGATTTATGTGATCTAAGTAATAAATTATAAAATATCTAAGTTTGCTGATGATACAGCATTAACTTTTAGCTCTAATAACACAGAAGAATTAAATTTTCAAATTAGAAATAATTTGCAAATAATAAGAAACCGTTCTTTTACAGATCAATTATATATTACCATAACTAAGTTTAAGTGAAGTTATAAATGTCCTGCTCCTGCAGTATTCTTGTTAAACACTCAAGTTTAAATGAGTTGTGGTGGCCTAACTGGACTATTAACTTTAAGTGAAGTTGTGGTGCCATGATTCTGTGGTGGTCCTGTTGTACTCTTTGTTTAATAACTGGACCCAACTGATATTTTGCCAGCTTTGAGTTATCAAAAATCTGAGTTGTACTTTCTGTAATCCTGCTGGTATTTTCAGACTATTATTATCCACACTTAAAGCACTAATGATGCTCCTATCAGACAGGTATCCACTATAATGTCCATTTGAAAATGGGAGAAATTCTTGCTCTTACTCAACGAGTTGTAATTTAACCATGATATTACAACATTTATAGGACTCAAACAAACATGATAGTAACTAGGAATGGTTGCTTGGTTATGGTGGTAGACCAAACCTTCAAAATGGGGCATAATAAGTAGGTCAAAAGTGTGATATCAGGGGACTGTGGTGTATGTCCACTCATGATGGAGGGGAGGCAGTTGGGATTTTGGTCCTCATTATTTCCTTCATATCAACTGCTAGAGTGGTGTCCTCTAGTGTTATGTCTACAAAACAGTGGAGATTTATACTAATACTCTATTTATGAATGTAAGTATTTCAGCTGTGTGTTATATGGTTTCCTCTACAGATAGTTTTAAATATTGACTTGATGACTATCCTCTACATGTATTTTTACACTACTGAAAGACAGCAGATTTATCCTTATCAGACTCATTAAAATATTGGATTAAAACTGATTAAAAAAAACAAAAATAATTATTACAGTTTCAAGTAAATGCACTTTATCAGGTAGTCGCATTGTGTTAAAAATACAATTAGTTTAATTTAACCAGTGTTTCACCAGAATTTTTCAACTTAAAAATTTCATTTCCCGTATTCATCAATGCCTATTACTTCACCCTTCTTTCCTTTGAGAAGTACGGTAGTTGCATCATCTGTTTAAATGGTAACATAACTGTATTTTAAGATAAAGCTTTAAATCTGAATATATTTATTTTATTGTTCATAATCAAATCTACTATACAATTACTTACTAGCATAAAAAGTAACAGCCTTCCACTGTGGTTTTCCTATCCAACCAATCGTCTTGCAGTATACAACCAAGTTTTCATTGGAAGGAAAGAATACAACTCCACCTGGCTGAATAACTCCTTTTCTACTGAATTCTATCACAACATCACCTAAAACTATAACAAAATTCCCTATTAATTTTTACATAGACAGATTACATTTATATTAATTAGCCTAGATAGCATTTATTTAAACAGAAATTGAATATAACCTCAGACTATTATTAGACACACTTAAAGCAATAACGATGCTCCTATTAGACAGGTATCCAGTATGATGTCTATTTGAAAAGTGAAAACATTCCTGCTGATTAAACCACAATATTACAACAATTCTGCATTTATGGGGCTCAAACAAACAAATGTTACATATCATGGACACTAGTCTATTTTGCAAATAAAAATAAATAGTGTTATACACATACATATGAGGCCTAAGTAAAGTGGCCAGTGGGCAGAGTATATATATATATATATACACATTTACATACATACATAAATGTGTGTAAATGTATAAATAATATACATATAGTTTTAAATGACACACTTTTGAGAGGAACATATCTATCTTCTTATAAGCATACAAAAATAAAACTGAAGTTTAACTGAATTAATCTCATTGTCATTCTTTTTTTTTAATTATTATTATTTTTTACAGTACCTAAGTTGACACATGAAACTGCCAGAGTGTAGGTCTCAAAAACTTCACAATGATCAACAATACCCTTACATAAACTTACCATGGTTCCTCTGGCATGTAGGGAACCCTTTATCAAGCCATCTTCCTCTATGGCAGAGTGTTTCCTTGAAGCCAAACAAACGACTTCTTCCAACAGGATAACAGTGAAACACAATTCTGCCTCCATCTGGAACTATGTCTCCACTTTTTATTGGCTTACGCTTATGAAATATCCTTAAATCTTTATTGTTAAAATCCACAACACAGTGTGTTTTGTTTTTTTGAACAACTGGATCTAACTGATATTTTGGCAGCTTTGAGGTGTTGAACATCAGTGGAGTTGTACTTTCATGTTCTTTCTGTACTCCTGCTGTACTTTCAAGTTTTAGTGGAAATGCAGAGTCATGTTTCTTTGGAATTCCTGTTCTACTCTCAGATGTCAGTGAGTTTGTGGTGTTATGTTCATGAGATGGTCTTCTTGTACTCTTAAATTCCAGTGAAGCTGTAGTGTCCTGCTCCTGTAGTGGTCTTATTGTACTCTCAAGTTTCAGTAAAGCTGTAGTGTCATGCTCCTGTGGTGGTCTTGTTGTACTCTTAAGTTTCAGTGAAGCTGTAGTGTCATGCTCCTGTGGTGGTCTTGCTCTACTCTCAAGTTTCAGTGAAGTTGTAGTGTCATGCTCCTGTGGTGGTCTCGTTGTACTGTCAAATTTATGTGAAGTTGTAGTGTCAAGCTCCTGTGGTGGTCTTGTTGTACTCTCAAGTTTCAGTGAAGCTGTAGTGTCAAGCTCCTGTGCTGGTCTTGTTGTACTATCAAATTTATGTAAAGTTGTAGTGTCAAGCTCCTGTGCTGGTCTCGTTGTACTGTCAAATTTATGTGAAGTTGTAGTGTCAAGCTCCTGTGCTGGTCTCATTGTACTGTCCAATTTATGTGAAGTTGTAGTGTCAAGCTCCTGTGCTGGTCTCATTGTACTGTCCAATTTATGTGAAGTTGTAGTGTCAAGCTCCTGTGCTGGTCTTGTTGTACTGTCCAATTTATGTGAAGTTGTAGTGTCAAGCTCCTGTGCTGGTCTTGTTGTACTGTCCAATTTATGTGAAGTTGTAGTGTCAAGCTCCTGTGCTGGTCTTGTTGTACTGTCCAATTTATGTGAAGTTGTAGTGTCACGTACTTTTGGTATTCTTTTTGTACTCTCAGTTTTTGATGTTGCCTTTTCATGTCTTTTTGGTACTTGTGATGTATTTGGAAGAAAATCTGTGAAATTCACATAAAGAAATGAATATTAACTTCTGATCAAAGTAACCTACTGACTCGTATCAGAACTAAAAATATATACCAAGTAATGTACATAACAAATTAAATATAATATTCTATCTATATTATTTATAATGATTTATTAATTTAGAGATATATCTACCTATTCATTTATTTTTATCATAATGTCACTTTTAGCAATAATACTAAGGCACTAGCAAAAATAACTGTTTATCTTCTGAAACAGAATGTCTACTGGAAAAATAAGTTTCAAATAGTATTACAAGTAAAATAAGTTTTAAATGGTACTGCTAGTAAAAATAACTGTTTAACTCCTGAAACAGAATGTCTACTGGAAAAATAAGTTTCAAATGGTATTACAAAAGCATTTCAGACATTGATTTATTCACTAGTAGAACTATTCGATTACCACTGCATATTTTCTAGACAGGTTCAAGAAAATGTCTCAATTCAATTTGATACTACTTTAATAAAAATTTTAATTTCCCAGTTTTTATTCACAGCTGATACAAATAATGTCATGTTTGTACATGATTTTCAGGTTAAATACAGATAGGCACTAACTGTAAATAATTCTAATGTTTTCTTTTAAAACTATGTAACCTCTAAGTTTGTAGGATATAACAACATAGTAAGAAATCAACTGAAAAAAAAAGGTTACATAAAAATACTGTAAAAATTACATACTGTAATATGGTGAACATGTTTAAATTATGAGAAGAAGATCTGAAAAATTATTAGTGTGTCCTAAAAATCTTATCAAAATGAATCTATGACAACAAAACCTATATAATGCTCTTCTTAATTAATACTGATACTAAAACTACTAATTATAGAGATAACAATGTTAATATTACAGAGTTGGAAAAATAATATCTATGTTACAAGTACCATGTTAAATGAAACAAAATTATAAAAAGGCAACTAATAATTTGTAAGCATTCAAAAAGTAGGCATTCTAGCTGTCAATAAAAGTACCTTTGATGAAAGAGGCTATACATCTACTTCCCAAAGCCCTCAGGTTACCAGAACTGGTTAAATTCAACTACTTCAATACAATATGATAATACAAAACACACTGTTATATATATCAAGTTAAACGAACAATTTTATGAAATATTCAGACTGCCAATAGTCCATGCTAGCTAACTCAGAAACTAATTTATATCCTTTTAATGCACAAGTAAATACTCGGAGTGATAGTGTAATAAATGTGTATCCAAGACCCAATGATTATAATGCTAATGCTGTAGCACTGAATTATACAAGTAACTTCCTTTGTTTTCAATAAAGTCTAACTAAAGTAAATGTTTAAAACCCTTGCTCAGTCTTGACATAGAAGACACAAAGTTATCATATTATTGGTACAGTTACATATTAAATATAACATATAGACTGAATGATTTTTATATGCTGACACTGGTAGAATTATTTACTTTCAAATAATGCACATCAAACAGTGTTAAACAGAAAATTACATCATGCAATGACTGACTTCAAAGACCTAATGACAATGAAGGTTTTTGAAACTATAATTCTTAGCAAGTCAAGTGTTTTGTATTGGTGAATAAACAACAATAAAATACAAAATGAACTTGCTAAAAACTGGATCACCTCAAAAATTCTTTTACAGTAGAAGGTTCTCCATACAGACAAACTTGACAAAATAATTTAAGTGACATTTTGTCTTATTCAGCCAGTACTGCTTAAGGTTTTAACTAATCACACCAAATACTGTATCATCAGAGGTAAGCTAATATTGTAACAAGTTATGTATAATCTAGGTTAGTGGTTAAACTCCGTGTTAACATACCGTGAAAACATTTTAAATACCACCTACATTCAAGGGGATGTGAAGTGATTATATAAAAACATTAACTACCTTTTGGAACAAATTTACTAACCATATGTCTACTAGATTTCTCTACAGCAAAATACATACAAAGTTTGAGAGATAAAACTTTACCTGTAACAAGTAGTTGTACCACCACTGAATCTCCTGTATGATACAAACATGTATAAAGTCCTGAATGAGCATGTGTAGCATGAAACTCAATGTGGGCAATTGGTTTTCCTCTTTCAGCGTATACAGCTAAAAAATATAAACATATTACATTACTTTGTTTGCCTGAGTTCGGATCAAACCCTAAGTTCTATATCACATTTTTTGTCAAGAATATTATTTACTGTTTCTAGTTACTTGCTTATACAAATTTGAAATAAACAAATATCTAACAAACACCCATTTGACCAACCCAAGCATCTCATCATACCTCACCTTTAAAACCTACATACAAGTCACAAAATCTTGATTAAAAAAATCAACACAATTGATTTCATTCAGAAATTGTAACAAAAAGATAGAAGCAACACTATTTTATCTGAAATATAATTAAAACCAGAAGCTCTTACTACAGATTCCTGAGAAGCTGCAGTGCTACTACTATGTAATCACAAAAACGACAGCTTACATGTGTTACCCCCTCCTGCTTTCTTCTCAAAATTCAATTTCAATTTAATTTTTCAATATTTTCACCAAAACCATAAGGTTTTTAAATTAACAAGTAATATCTTATGGGAAACCTTAACAACATCCATAGGAAAAGAAGCTATGTAACATTATTTAGAATTTAAAAGATATATAAACGAAAGGTTTAAATAAATACAAAATTCCATATGTATGTATAATATTTCAATTCTTCCAGTTTTTTTTTTGGTAAGATAGATAACAGAGCCAATTTTCATTTCATTTTTAACTAACAAATTGAAGCTCAGAGTTAATGTTAAAACTTCTACATTGGCCTTCATAACATTCCTTTGCTCATAGACTCTATCAGTATAATCTTCCTCTTCCTAACATTTGTTATTATCAAAAACTTTAGGCATATTTCCCTTTTTATTAAAAAAAAATGAGTTTAAGATTAGTGAATTTAAAATTTTGCTGTCTACCTGTACATATTAAAATGAGACATAGAGTGCCTTCACTTCTCTAACAAGAAACTTAATTTATTCATAAGTTCCTGCAGGTAGTCACTGATCACTAACTGCTTGAAACTTTGCTAACAAATTCAGTTTTTTATTTGAGAAGTGGAAACTCTAGGTCTGAATTTAGTTTACATATCTTTTATTAATTAATCATGAGAAATATTAAATCCTTTCTTGAAGGCTTTTAGGATAGCAATAAAAGTCCTAAAATAATTTACCAAATCTAAAATTCTTCACTAAATACTTATCTCTGTCAATAACTTGATAAAGTATAATGTGTAAAAATATTAATAAATTCAAGGTACACCAACTGAACAATCTTTATGATACTTCTAATCTTTCACAATATCAAGTTTTTCAAAAACAATTCTATCTGTAATACTCATTATTTACAAACAAAAGTAATTACTGCAGTGTTACACACAGTGAAAAATGGTATAAAAAGATTTTATCGCAAACAACTCGTGAAGCAAAATTTTATGAAAGTCTTACTGTCTTGTTTTATGTTCCCTCGAGCATCTGTTACCCAGAAGACATCTCGTAAGCCTGCTACAGTTTTGCAAAACAGATGCAATTTTGCTGATACACGGACCAAATATATTCCTCTTGGACTTTCATAAAGATTTTTGGGGTTTGAAGACTTTACCAAAACCATAACTTCCTCTGCACCTATAATGTTAATGTTGCATTGTGATATTTGTATATCAACATAGAACCTAAGCAAAACTGCAGGTGAATGAACATTTCATGCTTCAATGCCATAAAACAAAACACAATTTTTTACTGAGAACATGTAGAAACTATAATCATTTTCAGGGAGAGTGTTCTACTTTCAACTCTCCTGGTAACTTCTGTTGCCAGTGGCATAGAATCAGTTTTCTTTAAACACTTTAAAAGTTTCTGATACAGCATGTATATGAAGTTGATATTTTCATGTTTCTGATACAGCATGTATATGAAGTTGATATTTTCATGTTTCTGATACAGCATGTATATGAAGTTGATATTTTCACGTGTGCACAGTTCCAAACAGGATTTTTTAAATAGTCTTCAATTGATTCTGCATGAAAACCTGTAACCTGTATTATATTCTCAATACTACTTATGAAAATATACAAAAAGCATTCTCACATAAACAAATGCAATCTTCTTCTCCAGATCTTAGAAATCACAATAAAATCATAATTCTTTATTAATACTAAAGTCACTTTTATGATTTTTTTACAATTAAAGTTTGTGTGAAAAGGCTTTTATTTCAGCTTTAAGTGATACATTGGTACTATAATACCATCTAATGGAACTAGCATATCTGGAATTCCACAGCTATTGAAAAAACATTTAGTGTAATTTGAAAGAGAATAAGACAAATAAAGACCTATCCTGTTAACAACAGCAGTGTGACATTCTCAGATTCACCTGATTTCCCCAGAATAACTTGCAGGAATGACAAAAACTCTGTCTTACAGACCAGGGCTGTGTTCTCTCTACCTTTGAAAGAGACTGGACACAGTTTGCAAACTTATTTTATATTATTACAAATGCCAAATTAAAGTTAAGATTAAACACTTAAACAAGTGCTCATGTGTCAGCTGGGGAGAGAAAGAGAGAGCTTTATTGACGCTATCTCATCAGTTTACCTCTATCTCTTTTATCTCTAGAGTTTGAATCTGTAAATTGAAACTTCAATGTAGCAAAAGTATACAGCAAAGAAAGAATCTCAATAAGTTCTTTCTAAATCTTAAGTCTGAATTGCTATGAATCTGGTGAGAAATATGTCAAAATCTATGTATGTCTAAAAATGCTTACAAAACAAGGAAAAACATTACATTACATAGAAAGTTCTTTCTCTTCAGGTGCTCACGCTATCCATGTGACTGAGGCCATTTTCATCTTAACACTAGCCAATCCTATGGTTCACTGCTAGCAGAGCCAGCTGCTTCTATTCATAGTATATTTCATACTTCAGTGATCTCTTCTAAAGAATCCCACTATTCGTTGGTAAAAGAGTAGCCCAAGAGTTGGCGGTGGGTAGTGATGAACAGCTGCCTTCCCTCTAGTCTTACACTGCTAAATTAGGGACGGCTAGCGCAGATAGCCCTCGTGTAGCTTTGCGCGAAATTCAAAAACAAACAAACCGTAACAATATTCAGCTGACTGCACCAAATTTTTTCCATAACTCTTACTTACTCTGCAGTATTCTCAGATTGCCCTGGTTTTCCTCAGAGCAGACCGAAGGAACTGCAAAAATAGGAGGATTTTTCAGATACTGTATTACAGATCAGGGTCATGTTCTCTCTATCTATGGCTGAGTCTTTATACAAGAGAAAGATAGTGTTTACAGGTTTTAAACAAACACAATCTTTATTACAAACAACACAATCATAGTTAAGGCTAAACACTTAGACAAGTGAAGAGAGAGAGCTTTATTGAATGTTCTCTCACCAGAGTACCTCTAGTTCTATTATCTCTAGAGTTTGAAACTGTGCTAATACAGTCTATAACAATGCAACATCAGTGCAGCAAGAGTATACGGCAAACAAAGAACTTTAGTGAGATCTCTCTAAATGTTCATTCTGAATCACTGTAAATCTGGCAAAAAGTAAGTAAAAAACATGGAAGTGTCTATAAATGCTTACCGAACAAAGGAAAACATTACATTATATAGAAAGTTCTCAGGAGCATGTGCTATCCACATGACTGAGGCCACTCCCATGTCAACTAGAGATGGAAAACACCCCAGCTGATTCCATGGGTTGTCATTAGAACAGATCACTGCTTCTATTCATTGCACTGAATCTTTTTTTATTGCTATGAAAGAGTTAAAAAATATGAATATAACCAATATCTATACCAAATTGTCTCTTACACCTAAAAACATATATAACACTCACTTTGATAACCTTCTATATTTACCATGAGCAATTATGTTTCATACTTTATATTAGCTTCAAGGCTTATTCTCTGTTTACATCATAATCAAAAAATTATACATATTTTTTATTTATCTTTAATCATTGTGCACAAGAAGCAGAAATGGAAATCAATAAGAAATACAAAATTTTGAAATTGATTTTCACAAAACTTGTTTAATCATATAAAACATAAACTAACCTGTAGGAACAAAACAAAAAGGAAATTCTTCATTCCACTCTCCAGAATAGCAGTACATTTCTTTGACTCCAGTTAATCGCATAATCCCAACATATGAACAGTGAAAGACAATTTTGGTACCAGCTTCAATCCTGTCTCCACTTTTCAAACGAATGCCATCAATAGCTCTGTGTATTCTCAAATCTTTATCATAGACTCCTATCTCACAATATGTTTCAAACATCTTCCTAATAATAAGTTTTCTTTCTGAAGTAGCCGTACTTCTGTTTAAGCTAGGTTTCTTGCTTTCTGTTATTTCATAATCTATGAATATAATGATTAATATTAATACATAGTAGCAAAATAAATAAAAGTAAAACAACAGCCATATTACAATCTGACATATGGGCTGTGATTTTTATGAACACATTCTGCCTTTTTATTTAACCTTGAGATTATATTTTGGGGTCCATGCTGATGGTCTCCGCCCCAATAATGAATTAAATATATATGGAGAGTTAAAAGTCATTTCAACACCAAACAAAAAACAGTACGAACATTATACTCATTTGTCAACTAGATCAGAAAGAAAAGCATTTTACTGTATAACAGAGATAAAAAAAAAGTTTAGTTTGTTTAAATAAGAACACAGCTTAAAATAAGTTAGAGATCATATATAGCGATCACGTGAAACCTAAAAAATCTTTCTCTAATTAATCTTATTTTAAAATGAAAGTTAAAGCAAATGAATTTTTAAGTGTGGTTATTTTTGTACTTCACGTAAATAATGTACACAATTAACTACAACAGGCAGGTACTAGTACTATATATATCATATTTCTAATAGTATATAAATTTTATGAGAAAACAATTTAGTTTCCAGCTTCACACACACAGATATAATTAATCATGGTAACTGATTTGCACAACATTAATAATGAAAAGGTAATGTCATAAACATTCAGGATTATAATGCTCATTATACTAGTATCCTAACACTCATCTAAATAAAGAAAGTAAATTTTTTTTTCCCAGGAGATTCATTTCTGAATAGGAAGAACCAAATCTTGCCTGTGAAGTCTAATCACTGTTTTTAAATGTCTTTTTAAAGTTTCAATTTACTGACTGTGTGTGTATCTTTTCTGTTTATTTAAACTACCAAGCCATTTACAGATAATTTTAAAATTAATTTCAATTTCTCTTTTGTTCAATACAATTTTTCGTTGTTTTTATATTCACATAGAGTCTTTGCAATTCATTCTTTTTTTCACTTAACTTAAAGTAAAACAATGCAATAGTCCAATAACCTGTATGATAAGCCATTCTTCAATGGCTTCTTTTTTCAATAAAGCATTTGTTTTATTTCAAGTTCTGACCATGTTTTATCACTTTTACTTCACCTGCAACAAGTCATTACACCTTTCCTTCCAAATACTATTTCCTCAAAACTCTATCATTGCAAAGATTAGATAATTTTGTGCTTAATTTATCCTTGGAATATCATAACTGGAAATACAGTTGCTTGTGTTTCTTTTTGTATGTTTAAGTACTCAGAATTACTATTTACAGTTTAGCATCTAACATCACCATGTTCAGTCAGAAGCTCTGGATGAGACATATTTTTGTGGCTAATGTACAAGAAAGTGAGAATCAGAACAGACAGGGTGTCCACGTTTAGTATTTTTTTTCCCCATCATTCTTGAGTTCACTACGATATGCCACTTCTTGCTGCGAAATGGTTTTCTGCAAGTCACTATAACCATCCAGCATAGCTAGTTATTTCATCATATGGTAAAGAGATTATGTATACAACCTACAAAATAGTTCTAGTGGTTGATACTCTAATACGCATGAATTACCTGTTATTTAGCTAGAAACTTACTAGGTTCACATTAAATGTAAAACATTATCTGACAAGAAGCTGATCATATTATGTTAAAAACATTGGCATAATAATTTGATTCATGTAACTATAAAGAAGTTAAATTACATATAAATTTTAGTCTATTACAGGCTGACACCAACTGAGTGTAGGATCAAGCTCAAAACTCATCATATTATTAAACAAACACGTCCATAATGCACATTACAATAAGAAATTTAAAAGCTGGTGATATTTGTTAGGCTGATAGACAAAATGCATAAATACAGATGCCATATAGCATGGAATGAATTAAAAATTCTGTTATTACAAACCTTTACATTTTAGATTAGGTGTCCACTTTCCTTTTTCACATCTCATCTGAGCTTTAACTCCATCTTGGCTGCATGTTATATACAATTTTTCACCCTCTTTGTAGTATTTACTCCTAGCCTGAAAAATTTCAAAATAACCTCCAATCTTTCCTTACACGACAATGGCAAATCTTACATAAGGATACTTTAAATATTTTAACACTTGTCAGAGTCAAGAAACCAAAAAGTAATAAATACAACAGTTACAAATGAAAGCAGCTTTTAAACATTTTCAACTGATTAATGGACAGAACAAGATTATTACTATGTCTTTGTTGTATAGTCAGGACGATTATTTTTATAGCCAAAGAAATATTCTAATAAATAATACAAAATATAGACATAACAATATATTCAAACCAAAAGACATGAAACTACCAAACAGTGAACACATCCTTGCTGTCAGGATATTCATATTATGATAAACTTATTATTTTGTTCAACAAAAGCACTCAAAATCTTTATAATTGCAGCTTTTACTTCTAAGAAACATATTTTCTTTGCATCTCACAACCTTAGTGCCCTTTATAATCTCAAGTGCTGCAGAGGGATTAAGGTTTACCATGAGATATTTTAGATAGCAAAACAGAAAGATGGACTTAAAAATATATCCACTTAATTAAATAATAAATAGATGATTTAAATATTGAGTACACAAGCTTAAATCTTTTATCAATTTCCCCAAACCAACCTGTTTTTGTTAATTAACATAATTCCTATCAGAAGTTTGAGAATATACTTGAATGTCAGTGAACAGGTTTTCTATTCTGTAGTGAAAAATCGAGATGTGTAATGGGGATTTTTAGGCATTTTAACCTTAAAAAATTTGCAAATAATAAGGACAAAGTCAGGAAATGATTGACCCACTTCTTTGAAAGGCTCTTAAACACCCAGAGTAATCATACTGCTTAATTCTTTGATTGTTTCAAACATTTTCTTACTTTATTTGGAATTACATGATATGAAAAAGTTTTTTCTAATTTTTTATTAACATATAGAAACATGTTTAAGTATTGGAATGTAATCCCAATCTCATTTTCATTTTGTTTCTAATTAAATACTTTTAATTAATTTATACATATAGTAGGCTTACCCTCTCATAACAGTAGAAGGAAGTAAGGCAAAATTTCCCTTCATAAACTATTCCGCCATCAGTTTTAGGTTTACGGCAGTAACCTACAGTATTACAAAACACATTATATAAAAACACATTCAGACATGAGGGTTAGAATTTTATTACATCATAAATTATGTAAAATTACTCATGATATTTTGTATTATATTTAATTTCACATGTTATTTTTTTGATTATTATTAATGATAGCTTTCCTGAATATAAAGCTTCTTCTTGACTGATTAATGAATGCTTATATTGAACATATAATTTTTTAGATTTTTATTAAATAGTGTTTGTGATATTGGGAAGATTAACATAGGCCTTAACTGATAACTTGTTTTCTAAGCAGGATGACATTTTGACTGCTATGTTGAGATCTTCTTTAATATAGATTTTGAAACGCCATCTCTTGTACTCAAGAAATACAAATGCAAGAAAGTTCATTAGAAATTTCAACCTCACAATACCGCTACTGTTTAACTTTTTAAACCTATAATTTTTTGCACATTCTGCCAGAATTATTTTAATGATTTCTTAATAATTATCTCAATTTTGTGTATAATAACATGGTTTGGATTAGTTTTCAGCCAAAGAGATATAAAGCTGTCACTGTCAAATGAGTAAATTGGGATTTTCAGCCAGAAGCTAGTAGCATCTGCTCGGGTTTAAGGAGTTAAAATATGCTAATGATGCAAGAATATCCAATTATACATCATGAAAGTTTCAGTTTAAAGCTGTATGTACCAAACATCGAATATTTAAAACATAATAAAGACATGATCACGCATTATAAGTTCTAGTTTTTGATAATGAGTTTTGAGGCATAATTCAAACTGATAAACAAGTAAGTGTTGCATATTTTTGGCAAATGAAACTTAAAATAACAAAAATTGCTATTAATTTTTGAAATGACTATTATGAATTAAGAAAATTAAATATGGTTGATATTATAAAACTAGTAGTACAATACAAGTTCAAGATTCAAGTATGTTTGTTTCAATGTGTTGTTTCATATACATAATATTTTTGTCCCATAAACAACTGGAACCTATATCAATCTTCATAATGTCACACCCTCAACTTACAAAAGTCTGTAAGATCATATGTTCAATGTAAGCACTTATTAATAATTCAAGAGCAATCTTTATTTAGCTTCATTGATACTAATAAAACATTAAGAATGTGAAATAATATTAACTTCAATACAAAAAATCCATTTGCAATTTTATATAATTTATGCACGCGAGCAGCTCATGGGTAATGTAATTCGACAGTGTAACGTGAGCTGCACATTCCCCAAGTGATTTACAACTTATAATGGTGTGAATAGTAGTTAGACACAGTTCAAAGGTCAATAAAACAACAAAATTTAATTATAAATAGATGTATACAGTTGAGTTTAAAAGCTACTTTGGATACACAAATGCAGTTTTACGCTACACTTAAAGTCATTCTAAAAAGGAAAGGAGGGTAATTTAGATTTGTTTCGATTTTTTTTGGTGGTTATGAGGTTAGCCAAATTGACAAACCTTGTATAGAGTTAGGACAGAGAAAATAACAGATAAAATATAAAGTGTTACTGAAAACAAACATTTGAAATGTATTTAGGGGATTTTAGAGATTACGCAAATGAAATTTGAGATGAAAAAAAAGTATTTTTAATCTTAACTTGAAAATCACTTTGCACACAGACTATTCAAAACAACTACTCGATATATTCAAGAACAAATCTTTTTTTTTAGTTTATTTCAAATACTTCATTAAAAAATAGGATTTTTTGTAAGTGAAAGGCTTATAATGTTTACTGAAAGACTGCCAAATTTTGTGAACATATACACACTATATCAAAAGTTAGTAATATCAAATCTATAAAGGCTCTATATGGGTAGAAAAAGGTCACGTGGTTGACCGAGCCCCTGTGGATAGAGTTAATACATATTCAAAATGTAAACTTTCTTGGCCATTTAAATGTGTTTTTGCTTTCCATATTTCTTCAGAGTAAAGGTTGTAAGATGAAATTTACCATGTTTACATGGATAATGTTTACTTGACAATGATGTCCATATTCCTCTGTTACATATAATGTTAGCCATCTTCTTGTAACTATGTTTACAGTTAACACTTGCTCTCTCAAGGTTGTAATACACATTCTTCATTCCCTTTACTCTGAAACCTGCCCAATGAACAAGGTTGGAAGAGTTGCATCTACCTGCAGACAAAAAAATGTAACCTATATGAAAGTAAGGTACCATAGTGCAATATCAAATATTACTCTTATGCATTCTGAATTTACCAAATTTAACCACTATTATAAAACAGATTAAATTGAAATCTGCATTTCAACATAAAAAGTATAAAATCATGCAAAGATCCCATGAATGGTAATATAATAATTTCTTTTTATATTCATAACAGTTACCTTAAAACTAATAAATAGGTAAGTTTAATAATGTAAAAAAAATAATTTAATACCTTATTAGGTTACATTTATTCAAAAAGCGACATTCATTAATATAAAATAAAATAATATTTATGAGGTATGACATTTTTACTTTGATTTTTTTCAATATTTTTTCCTTCATATGGGCAATAGTAAGTAATGTGATCATTCAGGTAACAATGAATAACCAGTTTCATTCATATTCTTGATAAGTATGCTGCAGTGCTACATAAATTATTAGAATTTATTAGGTTCTAAACCACTAATGCATGAGGATTCACAGTTTGCTATTTGAAAGATACAGTCAACATTTTAAATTAACAGTTTTTAATCCAGGGACTATTGAAAGCTTTATTGTAGGATAAGTTGATTACTTGATTTGAGTTGTCTTAACTAGAGGACACGCTAGGAGAAAATTGAGAAAGAAGTTATGTCCAAATGCATAATAACTATAACATATCCACATATAAATTATTTTACTTTCAATAAAACAACAAGTACTAAAGGGAATTTTCCCATTTTACAGTGGAAACTGTTTCATTATATTTAGAGAAAGATATACAATGCTTTTTTTATAAGATCTACAAGCAATATAAAGTAATTTTTTTAATGATTTTATCACAATGTTTTTAATTACTTTTGTACAATTGGAATGCTGAATAAGTAGAAACAAAAATAATAGCATTTATGGGCTTGAGCTTAAATATAATTTTAAAATATCAGAACATACCGATGCTTTTAGAATAACCAAAAATATATCAAATTATAGGTTATCAACAGCTAAACACTTACTGTCTTTGCATACAGCTGGAGAACCAATCCAATGGCCATAAGAACAACGGATTGAACCAGGTGTTTTAAGAAAATAAAACTGGTTACAATTATAGGAGACGGACATTCCATGAGAACCATTTGACACAGTGGTAAAGCCATTAACAACAGATGGAGGACTATAGTTACATCTTGCTGAAAATAATGAATATGCTTAAAAATTAAATACATTCTTTTTATTCACAAATAAAATTTGTAAAAACAAAATGGACAAAATGTTCTAAAAATATGAAATACAAGATCAAACTTGATACATCTTCACATGCATATATATTGTATTCAAACAATACATATAATAAATAACCTTAATGTTCTTTGACAATTTAACCGTTACCTTTGTACTGAAGCTTCATGCTCACAAAACAAACATTTTTATATTGATGCCTTTATGTCACTCAACTATGATTTTTGTTTGTTCTCTCTCTCTCTGGTCACTGATTTCTCTAATCACTGAACTATCGCCATTAGTACTGATTCCTCCTACTAACCGAATTACCACCATATTTCTCTTACTCACTGAACTGTTACAATAATACCAATACTGGTTATTGAACTAACATACTTTCTGGTCACATCCTGATTAATAAATATCACCTTTATCCTGATGCATCATGGTCACTAAACTATCACCTTTGTCCTGGTCACTAGACTGTCATCTTTTTACTGATGCCTCATACATGCTCAATGAAAAAAAAAAAGAAATCTTTATCCTGATGTCTCCTAGTCAACATGTTACTATCTTTGAACTGATGAGCCCTGGCTGCTGATTTTGGTCCACTGATACTGATGGTTGATTAGATACTTGAGTTCCTGAAACCTGGGAAGAACCTCTGTGTTTCACTAACTACAAATATTAAGTAAGGAATAACCATGTTAAATGATAATGTTCATTTTATGGTTACTGAACAATCAAACATTCTTGAAAATACAGTCTAAAATAATTCAGTATTTTAGTATATTAAGTTGTTCACAGATGGTAGCAATGGTAGTTGCACAACATCATGTAAAATTTAAGGACAATAAGGGACCTGTTAGTCCATATAGACTGCCTCAAGCAATGAAATAAATTTATTAACAATTTGAGCATAAGTGATAGATTTTTTTCACCTAATATGAGGTTTAAAAATTTTAGTAAAGGCCAATTTTTTTTTTCAAATTCACAATAAATGTAATTTTAAGAAATTATGAGTGAAAGTGAGGAAAAATGTATAACAATATGTCAATTATGTAATAACATCTACCAGAAGAGCTGCTAAAAATTCTACAATAATAATTACAATTAGTAATGAATACTCTTAATTATGAGTAACAGGCAAACCACAAAAAAGCTTCTATGATTACTCTACCCTAGGTCAACAGCTGGATACCTTGCTGCTAGTGGTGTTTAAATCAAGAACACCTAACAAAATTGAGCCTACTCAGTGGTATAACCAAGCACCAAAGCAGAAATGACACATGTAAAGCCTCCTGTACCATGTTTATCAATTTTGGCCAATGTAGTTATTACTATTTAAGAAATGTAATGCTATATACAGAAACACAAAAATTTGTATCTTATTTAGTATGTGGCAAGTTACAGAACAATAGCACAGTCTTTGTGAATATCTACCTGCTAGTGTATCTGGTCTAGTTTGATCCATCTCAATTGACCAGTGTTTGTTGATGACCTAGCTAAAGAAAGTTTGCCCAGAGTTGAAAGACAGACTTGTAATGGGAAGAAACAAATTATGACTAGTTTTTAAAAGTGGAAGAATAATTTAAGAAAAGTTTACATAAAACTTAAGAAAAGTCAGAGATAACATACTGTTACGTCTCCATTTGTTAATTGATTTCCCGTAAATTCGTTCAGACGAAACTTTAGCGACACAAATCCTTTCTTAAATAAAACTGGTTTATTCTTTCTGAATATAACTTTACGATACACTTAATTTCAACAATCGTGCTAAAACAAACGCTATAACAACGAATGTGCTCAACTTCAACAATACTCTCTGACTGCAGATCAATTACTCACTGTCTACACATTGTCCCGTCACGTTGTGACCATCTTATATATACCAGACTACCCCCAATCTAGTAAATGCTAGGGCATTCACGAAGGAACAGGATATTTCTAGAAAACGTGGCGTGACACTAGTCATGTGATCTTGCTGACGCAACAATATATATATAGTTTTAAAAACTCTGATACGTACGTATGCAGGAGGGGTTCAGCCAAACCCTTTATTTTTGTGATGTAAAAACAATTATGCTTACATAGTTATAATGCAGCTTCTTATGGTACATAACAATTTCTACATAGTCTAATTTCTTCTGATGAAGCATTAGCATCAGACCCCCTAGCATTAGCATGCTTTGCACAATATATGTTGGCTTTTGGTCTCACAAATTAGAACTCCCCTTTTCAAACTTTCTGTATACAGGTCTGTCAATCTGTGGTGAGATAAGTGTTTGGACTTGCATTGAGTATGTATGGTCAGGATAAAGAAAGTTATTCATATCATAACTGTGTTAATTATGTGACTTATACCGAGTCAACAATCACACTATGGTAAATAACAGATACAGCATAACTTTTTGTGGAGTTGAATAAAATAATATGTGTGAAAGTTACATGCTTATGTTTTTGTTGAAGAACTAGAGATCTAGCAATCTAGTTTTATTGTTCCTGGAGTGGATGGAGCAACCACTTCATCAGTAGGAGAAAAATACATCAGTAATTCTAAGAAGTTATGAGTGACAGTAAAGAAGAATATATAACACAATGTCAATCACACTATACTCAGGTATAAACTAAAACAAACAATAGCTATATTTACAGCTAAAATAACCAACTACTAGAAATTAAAAACATATTACTCCATATTTAAAGTTTAAAAATTTTCTTATCCCGATTTTTCTATCAATCCACATAAAATAAAAAGTCATATTTACAACTAAAATGACCAACAACCAATTAAAAAACATTACTAAATATTTCCCATTTAAACATCAAAGCTGGCAACATATAAGAAATACTGGAAACCAATATGCCTGACATTTGAGATAAAAAAATCACATAAGCTTAATTCACCCATTTTGATTTCCAAATTAGAAATGTGTAAAAATAGAATTTCAGATCTATTTTTTATCTCCAATAAGTTACTGCACAAAAAAATGCCTTTCTGATTTGGAATCTTAAATGGAATAAGTAACAGTAATATCAAAACAAAAAACAGCATCTGCAACTTACAAAATTTTTATCACAAATGTTAAGCCTATTAATTACTCAGTATTTGTTTATATGTACAAGTTTTTGGTTTAGTATTAGCATACTTCACTCTACTGAGTTTCAGGATGCTTATATGTGTGAAACACAAAATGTACTACACCTGGTTGGCAGGGCATTACTGTGCTATTCCATATTCCAGAATTGCATGTAATAACAGCATTTTCAACCTTATCATAGCCACTAGTACAATAAAATAGTAAATTTTCTCCTTCCATGTAATTTCCTTCCAAGAAAACTTTAAGACCGTTAACATCCTTCAAATCCCATGAGTAGCACTGAGCTAAAAATGACAAAAATTAATAATAATCCAGTGTGAGTTAAAGTTTGATCAAAATTATTCACAATATTCACTTGGTGCAGTACACACTTAATGGTCCAAGTTCAAAATTACTCCAAATAAACATTCATAAAATTAACAGTAATAAAAAATACTTTAATTAGCATCACTATTTTAGAAACCTCAAACTATTAAGCCATAGATGCAAACCTGTAGAAATGACTGAACTATTTCAGTACTCCCCCATACTCAAGCACCTGATCATGTTTACTCCAAAATGATGCAAGGTAACATATTTAAAGAAAATTTTTTCTAAAATGCTTCAAATGAACAATATTTTATTTAGCTTTGTATATCCCTTTATTATTGTTCCATAAAATGAAAGCACCTTCCCACCCTCTGCATTTTTTGTTAAACTACTGGTGTAGGTTTAATTTATACCAATACTTTTCTGTTCTTTTACAGCATAAAAATGTTTAAGGCTGTATTGGTTTCTAATTAGAATTTCCAACACATTTCTATCCACCTTTTGGGAAAACATATTTTCTATTACAAGTTTGAAAAATTATTAATGCAAATGTAGAGAAAACAAACCAAACTGCAGAAGATAACAAATCCAAACAGATCAGTTAAGTCAACTTCAAAAACAAATACAAAAATCAGTTCAAAAAATTAAAGTTTGGTATGACAGAAGAGATTCGCAATCATCAAGGTTGATACAGGTGAAAGACATGAACTACTTTACTTATGATTTTAATGATAGCATAGCTCAGAAACATGTATAACAATTAATGAAACTCTGAAGGTTCTCAGCCAGAGGGGTATGGGGTCAAACTTTCTGGGAAGAAGTATTCAGATGATACTGCAATATAATTTATTTTTTTTTGTTAGGTTTAAAAGTAAAGTTTATGAACTTGGAAGTACATGGTAAACATTTATGTTTCAAATTTAAAACTTTTTATAGTGTTTCTTAGTTTAATCAAGAAAGACACTTGTAAAGCAGAAAACAAATCACAGCCAACTTTGAATTTACCCAGGTTTCAGTGACACTGTTTGTATAATACTGCACAGTTGTATAAAAAACAAAATGGATGGTTTTGTAGAGCATGAGAAAAAAAAAAGCATAATCTTATATGTCATGCCTTCGTGTGTGTGTGTGTGTGTTGGAGAGGATGAAGGGAAAATATAATATTTTTAGTAAAGTGGGGCTTGATTAAAGTAGTGCAGATTATCCTATTCTAGACCAAGATGACTAACATTCAAGGCACGTTTATTTTTCCAACTAGCGAAATAAAATTTAAGGTACTGAAAATCAAAAACCTCTTGGCTGAATTGATACTTAGAAGAAGATCAGATGGTAAAAACATTGCAAATAATAATATATCAGATATATCAGGAAAGTTCCAATTGTCAGCTTGGAAAATGTCTTTTCAAGTAACTTAAACTGAAAACAAAACAAAATTGAAAATCAGGAACGTAGTCCTCTTCATTTACCTATTCCTACACAATAATATAAAACTAGAAAATAAATGAATTTGAATAGAAAGAAGACATGTAAAATTATCACAATAACAAGAGGTATAAAAAAATTAGTTTTGTTTGGTAAACAGGTCAAATTTGACCAGTGAAATAACAAGACCAGATAAAGTTTTTAAATCCACGACACAATATTTATTAGTGAACAACAACAAGGTATTTACTATATTTTCACTTATTTCATTTTACACACATAATTATATTAAAATGATCTGGCCATCTTTCACATAATTGCAAGTAATAGAAGCTACTGGAGGTAGGTCAAGATCACCCAGCAAAAGACAGACCTGTACTCTCTCTGCATTTCACAGAAATATGTTAAAATGATCTATACAGCTTCCATGCATCTACTGGAGCTAGGTCAAGATCACCCAGCAAAAGACAGAGGACCTGTACTCTCTGCATTTCACAGAAATATGTTAAAATGATCTATACAGCTTCCATGCATCTATTGGAACTTGGTCAAGATCACCCAGCAAAAGACAGAGGACCTGTACTCTCTGCATTTCACTGAAATATGTTAAAATGTTCTATACAGCTTCCATGCATCTACTGGAACTTGGTCAAGATCACCCAGCAAAAGACAGAGAATACCTATACGGTCAAGTTGTGGTAAGTTAACTCAACGGTTTGGTTTGACCACCCAAAAATCTTAGTCACACACATTATGGGTCAACTTAAATCTCACTTCAAAGAAAGACAAAGTTTCCCATCCTGAAAAACCACCTATAACCAAGCTATATACATACAAGTTTTAGTTTCATACAATTGATCAAGACAGAAAGGCAACACCTTCTGTGTGTAACTAGTCTAGTGGATTAATGCACATTAAAGCTGATCAAACTCAGTATTCACTAGTGTTAAATTTTAGGAAAATATACTTAAATTAAAAAACAAAAAATTAAGAGAATGTATGTCAGGTAAGATACATTTATAAGTTAGTTATGAAATGGTTAAGTATACCTTAATTTTCAATTACTACAGTGGTGTATCCACCCTTGAGGAAGAGTTAATAAAACTCCTGTGCCAGTTAAAAGCATTCTTAGTAGTTTGTTATCTATATCAAAGTGATATTAGTGTAATGATTAAAACAGTATTGTATTTCATCCTTCTATGTTAGTTGTTTTAGAATATATCTTTATTCAGGCATATTCATGCAATATTATTTTTCTAAATTTCCATGCAGTTTCTGCACATAGTCAAGAAATGCTCAAGGTCATAAACGTGTGCTAATCTTTTTTATGACAGGTAAGGGATACATACTCCAACATCCATTTTGAAATCTCAAACAGGCTATAAAGAAACCCATAGTACAACTGCCTTGGATTAAGATCACACACAGATTATTAGTTAAAGTATGTAACCTGTGGACTTGTGGGATACTTGACTTTCTTTGTTTGACCTGGGTATGTAAGTCAGAAACTTCCAGAGTTCTGTCTCTTGATTTCTCTCTTGCTCTTTTGAGTTTGGATTCTCTCTTTATTTTGCTTCTGTTCTCCTTCCTTCTATCCAGCAGCCAGACAATACATAAGAACAAAACTGGTCAGTTTGAGTAACTTAACACTATGTAAAGGAAAATAAACATTTTTTTACCATATTTTAGCTTGTGTGGTATTCAGGTACACTGAATCTAGCCAAAATTCTTCCACAGATTTTAAGTTCAGGACTGTTGAGTGAATAATAAATAGAACACAGACATGGAGCAAAACAAGCAAATACACAACCTCATTTTGGAAAAATGAGTTGCATTAAAATGTATAGAAACTAAAAACTTGATGAACCAAAGCTTGATATCAATTATAACTACGATAAAGTAGAAAGCAAAAATGCAAAAGGTTCCAAAAGCTCAAAATTATTCCTATAGAATATAAGTTCACAATGAAAAAGTAAATTAAAGTTTTAGTCCAAAACTTTGTGTGGCCTGAGATAAGTATATAGTCAGAGCTCTACGAACCTTAAAATTTGGGATAATAGATATCATATTACATTATGACACCTCCATTTTCATGGAGTTCAGACCATCTAACAAAAGTATTGTAGGCTATATTCTTAATATTTTAATGCTTTGTTCACTAGAGACCAGAATGTTTTTACATGATGTAATAATTATGTTAAAATCTAGAAGTTTCATGAAAGTTTTTAGCCTCTGTGGAATCACGAATGTTTGTGAAACAGAATACAATATAAAAATGCTAGATTAAATTAGAATTAATTGATCAGATCAATGCCAATTAGTTAGTCTGCTGCTCAGTGATTCAGTCATTGAGAGTTAGTTCTTCAGTGAGTCAGTGATACACTACTTTTGGAATTTCTCTTGAAATAGAGTTTGTGTAGTTAAAGTTACCAGTAAATGTAGCTTATATATAGAATGTTATTGAAGAAATAAATTAATTGGTTATAGTAAGTGAACTGGACTTTGCATTATTTTTACTGAATAATCCAAGAGAATCTACCCAAAGATAGAGCATGTTACAACAGAAAATCAAATGGCTTGTTCACTGTGTGAAGTGGGCCTATGAATGTCTGTACCTTCTCACTTGGCAGTTTTTCAACTATACATTGCTCTCTATACATTTCCCAAATTACTGTAATTTAGTGGATAACTTTTACTTGTGACATTTCTACAGTTAAAAGAATGATTCATTTACCATTTCACTTTACTCCTAAAACTTTTTCAATACAACCTGAATACTGTTCCAGTTGTACTAAAAACAAATCAAAAAATAAAAATGGAATAAGTATATTATAATGAGAACTTGAACATTTAAAGTACAACTGTAAAACATTGCAACATATATTTTTATGTTTTGTAGAAGCCAAACATGGTGATAACTGCTTTTATTGTAGTTTTTATTATACATTAAAGTTGCAATGTCAATAAGGACCAATTAATTATACTACATATTTACTAATGAACTAACAATAGGGTATACTTAAGAGAACACTGCGTGTGTGTATGTGTGTGTGTTTCACATGTTTAAAATTTTAATCAATATAACCAAGTTCAAACAATACATATAACCAAGAATATTTCGCAACCTTGATGATACGTGAATATATTAACGAACATCAAACTTGACCTAAAAGTTCATATGTATTTTCAAGTATAATTTTAGGACAATATGTTTTCCACTATGCACTTTTTCATGAATACTTGATAAAAAAAAATCTGTCAAATAAGACTGAATATTTTCATTAGTAGTACGAATGCTGTCAGTTATTCAGTACAGTCACTGTCATGTAGGAGGTAATTTCCTTCAACACTACTGCATTTTGTAGGTTTCCTATTGCAAAACCATAAGATAGTATTGTTTATTGGCATGTGTGTATAATCTTAAAATAATAGATAACACACAATTAAAATGTTTTAACCGTGTGTTCATTTTAATGTTGTGTGCCAGTTATAATTTTCACAAGATAGTGTACTCAGCTCCTACACTATAATATACCAGACACCTTCCTTTCTTCTACCACCAGCAGTTCTTTCCAATGAATACCATAAGCTGGTTTTGAATCCTTTGTGAGTTAACTTGGAACTAGTTTCCCATTTACAATCTTTGTGCCATATGATGTCACTGGTAAAAAGTCAAGTTCAACTTCTTACACATTTTTCCATAAAAGAATTAGACAGAGAGCATGCCTGGCATGCAATTCAAATGAATCACTTGTTACTGGAAGACTAAGCAGATTCACTCTTACGTTCCAAAACATGTGCCCTCAAATCATTCATTCTATGCTGAAACTATATGACATCCATATAGTGAACAAAACATTTGCTGGCAAAAATCAATGACTTAATAGTATCATGAACAGATTCATTCTGCTCTCATAGTAGATTAAACTGTGGAATGTCCTTTAGGATGACTTTCACAACCTATTTCGTCCATTTTCTGAAAAGACAATTTTCAGTGTGTATAACCATTAAGTATATACACACATACAGCAGTAAAACTGCAATCTTAGTTGAAACTATATGTTCCTTTGAAACAGACTTAAATGACACGAGCTAGAAGAAATTTAGCATCTGAGGCAGAAAAATATTTATACATTCATAGTTCTATGCCAGGTACACGAACACTCTAACAGTTAAGTGTTCATTACTATCTATTGTTGTAGTCAAAGTTTCCTACACAATAAACAATGAATGTAATAATCCTCCAGTTTATTTTTTTATTTTTTCCATAGTCACATTATTTAATTTTTCAAAACTATCATGCAGCATTTTAATCACTGAATGTGCCACCAAAGATGTCGGAACATCCTGAGGGAGCTCAGCAAAGTTATTTTTGTAAGTTTCATCAAGGTAATGCACAAGGCTGCTTTTGTTTTCCTCATTATTCATAAACATTTTGTATTCAGGAATCTTCAGCATATCAGAAGGCTGGTTAATTACTTTTTGCATGCACTATTGCTTCTCTGCCTTTTTTTCTTTTTCCTCACATCTCAGGTTTTCCAAGGGGCCAAAATCATATCAGTTTTCAACAAAGTTAACTGGACTCCAGCAAGCACTGAACAACTTCTATAAATATCACTTTTGTAGCTCAGAGTGTGATGATCCAATGTGATTGGTTCTTTGTTACCAAAGCCATGATATCAACGTAGGTAAATTTGATTTTATCAGAATATCATATTCTGTCCAATCATCACTCAGCTATAGTTCTAAAGTACGATCTAGTCTGTTTTTGTACCCTTCATCATGGCATAACCTTGTTCAAGACTAGCATCAAGTTCAAAGAGAGAGAGAGAGAGAGATGGCTATTATGACTTTTCATGACTCAAAGCTACTCTTTTATATTCAACATTAACAATTGCAGCTATCTCTAAATCTTCAATGTCACATCTTAATGGATTTATCATTTTAGTCTCTTTTGCACTGCTTCATTTTATTTGAAGTACTTATATGTACAGAGATTCATAACTATGATAATCTGTTAATTATCACTGAAGATGTCAAAAGTAGGAGCCTATAATATGAAAAAAAACGAAACAAAAGATCCAACTGTTGTATTTGTTTGAGATCTCACAATCTCTGTACTTTTTTTCATTAGGAGTTTAAATTTTTTTTCTATTATGAAACTGCACTCTGTGTCAATATTGTCCTGTATAAATGTTTTTATATAACTTTTGTTCATTTAGATAGAAAAACAATTTGTACTTACAAGTACATGAAATATCACATATGAAAAGAGACTTGAAAAAAAACAAGCCTATTGATTCTTTGATTAGAGTTCAAAAAACAAAAAAATGTAACAAAATACATCATATCTATCAAATCTCTTTTTTTATGGATTTTTTTCATGCCTGAGATTTTGACTAAAGCTAGAAACATGAAAATAAACCCATCAAGGCCACATGTAAAAAAGTAGAGTACAATGTAGATAAGTGCAACACTTTATGACTGCCACAGAAAATGATTGCAAGTCCATTAACAATGTTACCAGAAATCTGCCAAATGATGAAAGGAAGAACAGAAAGTTGAAATGTTTTATACAATTGTACTTGAATTAATTTCTGAAATACTTTCATACAGCCTAGTACATAACAAAATGTATATTACAATGGTTGAATGTGCTTTACACAAATTGAGTGGTAACTAGTTGCTAAGAGTGCTTTACTCAGCGGAACCTTGATACTTACAGGGAAATGATAAAAAGTATAAAAGGAATGGAAAGAGGACAACGTCAAAAACATTTACATACTTCATTAGAAATATATTATATTATTCTGTTTTGTTAAAAACTGGTATTTACAACAAATACAAAACTTACAAAAGGCTTTTAATCTACTCAAACAAACTCAAAAATTCATTTTTATTTATGGTGAACAAAAAACAATCTTACGTTTGCACTGTAGTGAAGGCTTCGTCCAATATGCATGTCCTGAATTATTAACTTTGCATTGAGACATTGCAGAGTTATCTGCCTTCTTCAGTTCATACAAAACAGGATCACGATATCCTTTTTCACATTTATAAGTCACAACAGTGCCCACAACATAAGAATCCTGAGAATCTATCTTAGGTACTGCATTTGTTACTGGCTGAGGTGGTTCACATCTCAATTCTGCACCTATTTTTAAAACAAGTGAGAAATTCATTATACTGCTCTGAAAAGAAGAAAAACCTAAAAATATTTATAGTATTGTGCATAAATGCTAAAAGACACACTTAACTGAGTATCAATTTTATAACACAAAATTCATTAATTAAATACAATTCTTATCATGTATAATTGTTTTCACAATAACTTATTGATTATCTATAGTTGATTTCAAATTCTGCTTTACTGTGGAAGATTACTTCTCTAGCTTTGCATTTTATGCTTTTTTTTAAGGTTTGTCATCATGGCCTGTACTTATGTTTTAGTCAATGAAGCCAGTAAACAGTATATTTCTTTGTTAGCCATTTATAACCCCTGTTTGATTTTTATCTTTATACTGTGTCTTATAATACAACTTTATAATAAGGAATTACCAATGGTGTCTTGCAGGGTTTACTTGTCAAGGTTTTCCACAGACACGTCTTGCAAGGTTTCCATGCATCATTCTACAATTATGTTGGTATTTTGAGATTTCAAATAAAACAATTTCTTCTATCTGTACCTTCTTTCATTTTACTTTGATGCTATTCATATGATAGATTTCTGCACATATGTAACTGCTTCAAAACTAAGATTAAGGTAAAATATATATATATATATATACAAAATAATTCTTTAGTTACATATACAAAAAATGTATACTTATTATTAGAGATCAGGTTTCAGTGCCAGTCATGTTAATATAGAACTCAAGATTCTCACAAATAGCTTATCTGTAAGTGAAATAACTATGATTTAGAAACAGTTAATTATGTCATTTCCAATGCTCATACATTAATATAATTTTAACCATGAATCATGTTGTCTTTCTCTATTATTTTTGTTAACATGTCGGTATCTTTCCTGTAACAGGAAATATTAAAAACTCATCTTAAAATTGTAGTTCCACCATAACCACAAACCTAAAATAACATTTCAATTAAGAGTGCAATTTAGGTAGGGAAAGGAGGGACAACTGCCTCCCTCCCCAGCTAGAACTTTATATTTTTATTTTTGGAACAACAGATACATATAGAGAATTTGTAATAAGACTGATTTTTACTTTAACCTTTAAAAAACTGAAGACAGACTAATCAGCTCAAGAACCACTAATAAAAGTTACTGGCCCCTATTAAAATCTTAACTTGTGCTCCTGATTTCAATTACTATGTACTGTACAATCCTACTGAAATCCCTTTTTCACTAGTAAGCACAATATGGAAATTTGCTCTCAATTTTTACATCCTAAATACATTACTTGACATTTTTCTACTTCAAAGCCTATTTTTAAACTGTAACACTGTATACCAGTTTCTGAAGCAAGCTAGATGTAGACCATTCTTCATAGTGTCACTAACTTACATATAACAAAAACAAAGTTTTCTTCATAACAAAATTGCAGTAAGCCAGTTTTATAATCACTTCTTAATATTTAGTCTATGCTACAAAATACACTAAACCAATCTTTTATAAGAAATTCCATTTAAAGCCGTCTGAAAAACCTAAATAAAAAATATTAACTGGTGTAACCTCTTACACTGAAACCAGTCCTTTAATCAAAACAGAAAGTTGATGAGGCAAAAAATAGGCTGTAAAGATGACTTGATTCTGCCTTAGAAAGTTGGTGAAATAGAGAGGAAAAACAAAACCAAGTTAAATAATGTAGTTGAGGAGAAAAAATACTGCAGGACAAAGTTTTACAAAGTAGATAAGTATACCTAATCCTACCAACAGTACAATCAAGGCAATGAACAGAATACCAGGATAAAAAGTATCAATTCCAAGGTTATAACTAAGTTAAAGAAGAAAAAGTAACGATTATCAATATTTATAGAGTATTGGCCTTAGGATGGGTAATACTCATGAGAGCACAACGTATTGTGAAATTTGTGTGATTTCATATAAAAGATACACCAGCATAATTTTTTAAAATAAGTTTTATTCTTGCAAAGTCTATACAGAATTATGAGTATCAAAGCATCATCTTAGTAAAGAAAGAAACAAAGTTCAATTACCAAGGAAAAAAAAATTGTTCAGAACCAGTCTCAGTAGGTTTTCCTACTATAGTTACCTGAAAACCTAATGAAACCTGAGAAGGATGTGTTGATGAGACCAAGCACAAGATCTAAGAGAAAAATTTACAATTTTCTGACAAATAGGACATATCCAGAAAATTAAAGACTGTGCTTCAATACAACTTACATTCCACCAAACATTCTTAATACATTCAGATATTTCATAAGACTGCACACATTTACATCTCAACAATAGTGCTGGAAATAGTAAACACGATTATTCATATAAACCTTTACTGAAAAAGTTTGTAAACTACTGACAAAATCACATGATGAATCCATCCTGCAAAAGTAACTAACACACACTCCAAGAATACACTGGATCATATCCATCTCTCTTGGTGAGTCATTAAACTCCAGTTCAATTGTAGCTAGTTACTAAACTCCATGTGCAAGTCTAAAACTTTGTTTTCTGGTGACACTCCAAAACTATTCAATAACAATTTCTTACATCTAAGATACTGAGTTGGCACTGACCATTCACTCAGTCATGTCAATTTCAATAAAGATTGGGTATATTCTGTGGGTCTAACTTAAACTAGAACATAATCAATCAACAAGCTTTTGAAATCCAATTATTTACTGAGATTGCCTGTTCAAACTGCAGTATTGTAACCAGTTTTGAGACAGGCTGCAATTTTCCTCACCAAATGGGATATGTACCAGAAAAGTAACTGGTGGCAAGTCCAATGATGACATTTTCTCTATTATGAAGATGAGTCCCAATAACAAAAAAGTGATACTAGAAGATGCATAAAAGGATTCAGAAACATCTATCTCTATACCAATTACTTTAGTGTTAAAATAGAGATCACAGGACATTATTATGTAACATAAAATAATGAAAAAATGTGATAAAGACATAGATAAGCCTAAGTAAGTCTGCAGATGGGACAGTGATAAGTTTACAGTCTTACAATGCTAAAATCCAAAGTTCAATTCCTCATGGTGGACACAGCAAATAGACCAATGAGGCTTTGCTTTCAAACAAACAGAAGCCTAAATATAGAAAATTGGTTAACTTCAAACCTGAAACTTGTCAATATTAAAAAAATAGATCCAAAAAGTGTTATTTTAGCTTATAATAATAAAGTCAAAAGAAATTAATCTATCTTAAAAACCCAATTACTGATAAAAACAACAAAATTTATCCTAAATTCACATTTTAGGAAACTATATGTCTTGTATTCCAACACAATTTACTTTCAGACAAACAACTGACTTAAAAGAATATAAATGTCCTATTTACAGTAAAGTTGATGAAAAATCTCCGCTCCACATAGGCCTAACGAGGCCACAGAAGTTGTAAGTTTGTAAAATACGCATTTTCCCTGTTTTTCTACAAAGCCAGTTTAAACTACTGTAGTGTATGTAAATACCTTTCACTTCATTATATATACATAGACAAACAACTGACTTAAAAGAATATAAATGTCCTATTTACAGTAAAGTTGATGAAAAATCTCCGCTCCACATAGGCCTAACGAGGCCACAGAAGTTGTAAGTCTGTAAAATACGCATTTTCCCTGTCTTTCTACAAAGCCAGTTTAAACTACTGTAGTGTATGTAAATACCTTTCACTTCATTATATATACATATTGTCTTTGGACTCTTAGAATTCAATTATTTTTTGTACAGAGCAGTTCATTACAGACTAAGACTAACTTAGGCCTATAGTTCTTCAGAATTGACAACAGACCTGCTTACGAAAGCTTACTCTACGTTGCACTTAATTTTTTCAATAACTAATGTTAGGCGTAACACAATTTATTACACTGCACTAGCATTAGGTAAGACTAAGTTTAAGTCAGTATCTACGTCTTTTAGCTTCAAAGAAGAATAGCAGTAAAACGTTGGCTTAAATACAAAAATTTTTTACATGTAATAAAAAGTTTAGTTTGTTATTTTTACTCAAGTGATAAGAATAGAAAAAACCTTCTATTATACATCAAAATATTTAAGCATTTTCGACCAATAGGCTCAACATATATAATAAAAATTACGTTAGCTGCAGTCTAATGCAGAATTTTATCACAAATTGTAGGTCTACTGGTTAAAAAAGCTCGAAGTAAACGGTTTAAACACTGAATGCTGACGAAGCATTAGAAACCAATAGGACTAACGTTTTACTGTTATAGTTTCGTAAATGCATAAAATTAAAACTGTGAGCAACTACAGAACGCAATCAGTATGTATTTCAGGAATTGAACTTTTGTTAAGTAGTCAAGTACCTTAGTTGTTACCCCGGCAACCGGTAAGTCTGAGGACTGCTAAAAAATCTGGTTTCGATACTTGCACTGTTGCAGTAGGTACAGTACAGGTAGCCCATTGTATAGTTTTATGCTTAATCATCAAGTTAATAACAAACAAACAAACAAAATCTAAATTGTCAGTAGTTTTTATAAACAAGTTCGCTGTCTGTAGAGAGTCTGTGTAGTGTAATTGAAATTATAAAAAACGCACAATTAACACTAAACGATTAATTGGTAAAAAGAACGTGATTCATGTTAATATTATTATTTTAGAGGCGGAATTAGCGCGGGACAATGCCCCGGGGCCCGCGACGCCTACGGGCCTGGTCTGGTCTTATCTTCTTAAAAAAGGGGCCCCTGAATTGCTTTTTCCGCTATTGTATAGTATATACTGATCTCCTGCCATTCAGATAAGGAAGTTACAGGTCCCAGGCGCTCTCCATGCCACATCCCACACACATTTTCCTGTTCCTGAAGTCTACTTTTCGGTTCAGTGCGAGATAATTTTAATGGTGGAGGCATGGATCGGGAAAGAACTGACCTCGTAACATTACTGTCGTTAGAAAAGATGTGACATTTGTTTTAAGGAGGGGGAGCACTGTTGTTTAGGCTTTTAATAGTGCCATTTTCACAACGTTATGAGGCACGGTTCGTTTTTCGAGATGATTATATACATCCCTATCGGGCGCCTATCGTGAGAGATTTCATTCGTACCAAAAGAATTGTCACTCTGCCATGCTATTGGACCTCTCCCCAATTAAACACTTGTGAAACATCCTTAGAAATGCGATCCAGAATTGTTAAAATCTTCCAAGCAGGCTTAACTAGGGGAGGAATGACACAGAATTCCTCAGAACAAAAGCAGAAGGCTCAGACAGCACGAGAAGATACAGTTTGGCCATATACGCGCCAACCTGGTCAATGTTCAAATACTCTATGTCAACTTTCATTCTTTTCAAAAGCTGTACATATATTGACTCAGATTATCAAATATTTGATTCAAAAATAGTTATTGAACATTCACAAGAAAAGATATAAATTTTGTTTGGCTCCCAAAAAATATTAGAAAGAAATTTTATTAAATCAAGATTTGGCTATTAGTATTAGGATTAAGCAGTATGTCTCTAATAAATTTAAACGATCTTAATGACTATTTTGATGTCAACATTTTTCTGAAACTTTTGCTTGTTTGTATATGTAAAATTATTCATAAATTGCATATACAATTATTTCGGCAGTGTAAGGTGAAAACGACTTTCTTCTAACTTTATAATTTTTGTCTAGATATGTATTCAGATCTTGTGCTACTGTGTAAAGTTGAGCGACTAAATGCGAAATAATACATGCATATTTTGAATTAATCTAAGCTTGACTGTATATATGCTGTTGTTTTATAAATCAGATCACAAGATTGTTAATAAAATTTAACGAACTTTGATATACGTCTCAAATTTTACCATTAAACACAGATCTGTTCTCGAGCTTACTGATATTTGAATCACTGTTTCTAGCACTTTTCATTCTCCATTCTCTGTTAGAAATTTATATAATATCAAATCAACTTTTACTTCGTGATACTGATAGACATCTTGGCTTGTATATAATAAAGACGACACTGTAGAATGTTTGTTTGTAATTAAGCACAAAGCTACACAATGGGCTATCTGTG